AAACATTTGTTTAGCGCCCACTATACACCAAACAGTGCAGTGATAACATTGGATTTGTAAAGATAAATCGTACCTGGCAGGCTCAAGCATCTTTCATTTAAATGAAAGAAATTGATGGGAAAGGCAGATAATAAAACATCAAATTTATATGGTGGGAGCATAAAGGAGTGGATTAGGAAAGTCTTAAGGGCAGCAACTTCGTAGGATATGCATTGTCTTGAAGCACTGCAGCATGTTAGGGCCAGGTGAGTGAGGAGCCAGGTTCGTGGAAGTTTGCCTGGGTTTGGTAAGAGCCTGTGCATGCTGAAAAACTTGTAATATAAGAGGAGGGGCAGGTTTAGCAAAAGGAAAAAGAAGTAATTTGCTTATAAAAGATTGTGCTTCTAGATCTTCTAGGGAATTAGGTCTATGAAACTCAAGCTTAGCAAACATCTAGTTACAAAATGGATGAGGCTTTAGTATGTTGCCATTTCAGTGTTGGTACCAGCCGTACCAAGGACAGCAGTCAATTATTAAGTGCCTACTAGGTGTCAGGACTTGGATTGAATACTTTTCAGGCACTATCTAATTTAATCTCATAACAACATTGTTATGGTAAGAAACTATAGTTTTTTCACTGTATAGATGAATAAATTGAGCTTTCTCGATGTCTCAAAGCCAGGATCTGAGCCCTGGATCTAACTGTATGAAAAACCAAGATTCTTTCACTGATCCTACTTCACTAGCTCATCGATGCAAGACACTATTGTTTTGGTAAAACCTAGACTGATCGCTATGGTATAGCTCTTATAAGTGTTCAAGCTCCAGTATGGCCATGCACATCTGTTCCTACCAGCCAGAGAGTGTGCTTGCCAAGAGTATACTTACGTAATTATGTTACATAATAAAACATTCAGTGCTCTGATATAATAGTATGAAGGAAGTCATTTTATGTATGAAAATTAGATAAAATACTTTGGGAGGATTCAATAAAGACCATAGCCCAACAAAACTAAGTATGGGAAGGAAATGTAAAAGAAAGGGACACACTAAAATCTAGAGTCATTTTATGTGATTCTTTTCATCCATATTAAGGACACCACAATAGTTTTTGTGGATTATATTTTACGGTTGTAGTTTTTATAAGAATACATGAATTATCAGTAGCAGACTCGAGAAACTTGGCTGAGCAATGCAAAGGTAGACAAATAAGTGAACATGACGACAGAGTGATACATATGTATGTTTTTCAGTGATTCCTCTCTTTATATTGCAAGTAGCCTACCCATGACTGCACTTGAAGGGAACGTCTGAGAATGAGCATATTATGAGAGATAAGAAGAGGACAAAACTTCGGAGCCATGTAGAAACAGAAATCCTCAAAATGAATTGAATGATAATATTCAAAATTGTGGAAAGAGAATCTCCACAGAACAAGATTTTTGCCCCGGACCTTAGGTTGGGGAAATAGGAAAGAAATATATTCTCGTATTTTTTGTTTGTTTTTCTGCAAAACTTCAGTTTCTATAGACTGGATGCAGTATCACAGAGAATAAAGAGTATGGACTTTGGCATGTTTTAGATATAGCTGCAACAAGTTAACTAACTGTTCTCAAGTAGTCTCCAAGACTCAGTTTCCTCAAATTAAGATAGTACATTAAGCCAGCGCCATGTGATTATTGGGAAATGTACAGTGGACACACTATGAGTTGTGAAAGAATATTTCATTTCTTTTTTGCCCCTTTTTGTTTATAAAAGTTGTTAATCGAGCAAATAGGTCATGCAAAGGAATATTTACTGTCAGTTTTTACCCTAAAATTAATTCTTGACACAGTTAAAGTGCATTTTTGAGTTGACACACACAAAAATCTCAAGTCTCTGGCTACTTAAAGAATTTCACAGTTTTTTTCAGTATCGTCCATCTTCCTCCACAAGTGTCAGATTTAATTCAGTGTGATTTCAAGGTGTTCAGCCTTCTGCTAACACCATTCCATGTCATTGATTTTACTTGCAAGTAAAATTTTGTCCACAGGCTACTTATAAGGCTAATTGAAAAGAGAAAATTAGTAAATGGAAAGATGAAATAAATGATAAAAATTTTAAGAGAGTTGCAGGTGATTTGGGTATTGGGAAGAAGAAATGGGAAATAAAACAGAAGTGAAAAGAATTCTTAAAAACTTTTATTTGTGAAGACTCTTGATAATTATATCTGGATGATAAATCCAGAATTATTCTTAGAGGTAAGAATTGTCTGTATTTTATATACCCTGATACTACTTTAAAATATGTGTGACAGGAAATTACCTTCTTAACCAATGACTACAATTCATTTTATTATATTGTTGAAAGCCTCCTTAGAAGTTCTAGATACTACTAAGTAAATGCAGTGGGGCCCTGTTAAGGTTATTCTTTTTTTTTTTTTTTTTTTTTTTTTTT